CAGCGGAGGGGCTCCACGCCTGTGAATCTAGCACGGTCTGGGAGCTGGAGGCAGGCGATCACTCGGAGTCAGGAGTTCAGAAACCACCCTGAGCAAAAGCGAGACCCATTCTCTACTATAAATTAGAAAGAAATTAATTGGCCAACTAATATAGTAGAAAAAAATTAGCCGGCGAATGGTGCGACATGCCTGTAGTCCAGCTACTCGGGGAGGACTGAGGCAGGAGGATACTTGAGCCCAGGAGATTGAGGTTGCTGTGGAGCAGCGTTACGCCACGGCACTCACTCTAGCCTGGGCAACAAAGCGGAGCGCTCTGACTCAAAAAATAAAAAAAATTAAGTAAAAAAAAAAAATAAATGGTGAAAATGGTTAAGGCTATTAGTAAAGACAGGTGTCATACATGATCCCGCCAACTTATTTTTTCTCAAACCATGGATGCCGTTCGTGAATGGGAATTTTGGGTCAGTGCCCTTGTTTTTCTACCCCCATCCGCTGCACTGCACAAAGAAGAGGCATGTAGAAGGTATCAGGAAAAGAGAGAGTGGAGTGAGGGCACGGGTGAACTGGGTAAGATGAGGGGTAGACAGGGAAGGGAGTGGGCTGGGATGAGGGCACAGCACGACACGGAGCCAGGAAGTTCGCTGCTTTGTGGCCTGTGACCATAATCAAGCCACTGACACATGTAGTCCCCAAACCAGAGAACGATGTCTTTCAAATCTGGGGAAGCCCGAGCCTGGGGAAGCAGGAAGGAAGCAGGACTCACCTTGGACTTCCCCTCTGCCCAGTTCCAGGTGTGCTTTTGGGGCAGCTGTGAAGAAGGGCAAAGGAGAGAGGCTAAGATGAGCAAGGCGGGGCAGAGAAACTCAAGAGGGAGGCAGAGCAAGTCCCAGTAACGGACCAGAGAGGTAGACGGGGCTGGGCTCAGCCCCGGGCAGCAAGGAGCTTCCAGAACCCTAGGCAAGGAGATCCTGACAAAATAAATCCCCAAGCAATTTCTAGAATTCCAGAACCCATCCACCCTCAGCCTGCTGGGTCCCTGGGATTGGCAGCCTCCAGAGTGGTTGAGAAATACGATGGTGGAAGGCTAGACTCAAAGACTGCCTGCACTGCCAGCCCAGATCAGGGATCTCTGGGATGGAAGTAGCTTTGGGGCTGAGAGAGGTCAGACTGCCCGCTGCTGAACACCCTGTGTGGGCATCTGCTAGCCCAGGGCAACGATTCGGTGAGAGAGGATCCACCAGGCATGACTAAAGTCACTGCAAAATCATATTGGGATCTGAGTCTTTGCTCTCCAGACTTGAGAATTATAGAAACTTGATTGCCTTGTAGATGAATTTTAGAGATTTACAAATTGTATTCAGATTGTTTTTATTCAACCAGATTTTACTGAGCACTCACTGGGTGGTTAGGCACTTGAGGATACAGCAGTGAATGAAACAGAAATCCCAGTCTCAGGGCCAGAACAGTCTGATGATGAAAGAAAAAAAAATGTAAATCAATATATAAGATACTTTCAAGGTGGTGATGTTAAGCTCACGAAAAATGTTTTATGTATTTAACAAACACATTCAGGCCAGGTGCGGTGGCTCACGCCTGTAATCCTAACACTCTGGGAGGCCAGAAGCGGGAGGATCGCTCAAGGTCAAGATTTGAAACCAGCCTGGGCAAGAGTAAATCCTATCTCTCCTATAATATAAAGAAATTAATTGACCAATAAAAATATATAGAGCCGGGCGTGGTGGCTCACGCCTGTAATCCTAGCACTTGGAGCTGAGGCGGGCGGATTGCTCAAGGTCAGGAGTTCGAAACCAGCCTGAGCGAGACCTCTACCAAAAAATAGAAATAAATTAATTGACCAACTAAAACTATATACAAAAATTAGCCGGCATGGTGCGGCATGCCTGTAGTCCAGCTACTTGGGAGGCTGAGGCAGTAGGATCCCTGACCCCAGAGATGAGGTTGCTGTGAGCCAGGCTAACGCATGGCCACTCACTCTAGGCCTGGGCAACAAAGGAGACTCTGTCTCAAAAAAAAAAAAAATACATATATATATATAGAGAGAGAGAGAGAGAGAAAATTAGCCGGGCATGGTGGCGCATGCCTGTAGTCCCAGCTACTTGGGAGGCTGAGGCAGGAGGATTACTTGAGCCCAGGAGTTTGAGGTTGCTGTGAGCTAGGCTGATGCCACAGCACTCTAGCCCGGGCAACAGAGACTCAAAAAAAAAAAAGATGAAAGAAATGGAATATCATGAGCGAAGAACAGTGGGCCAAGATGATGTCGAGTTTAGCATCTGGAAAGGCCTGAGGCCACCGTGAGGGGCTTGAATTTTATTACCAGGGTAGTAGTAAGTCTTGTTCTGGAAACTTTAGACTCTTGGGAACTTTTAAGTTTTCTTGTCGATAGGATTACACAATCTTAGTCATTTTTAAACATCAGACCCTTACAATCTCTGCAATCTTACAAATTTTATTCTTGGCCAGAGCACTTTTTCTCAAGCACATGACCTGAATGTTCCTTGGAGTCTGGGGAACCTTTGACTTCAGTCTCTTCTAGACTAGAGTCTAGCCTCCGACATCCCAGGGGTGCAGCCTGAAACCAGGGAAGGGGGAACGGGCAGGCTGGCCCCGACTCTGCTGCAAAGAAGGAGATGCCACTTCTTAGTTCCTCTTTTGCCTTCTTCTGGAGGGTTCTAGGAGTTCCCAGATCCAACCTCAAACCTGTCTGCCCTCTCTACTCTATGTAGCCTCAGGATAGTTTCCAGACATCTCAAACTTCATGGAACCAATAGAGAATTCCTGATTTCCCCCGTGCCTGCTGCAAAATGGGCTCCACCAGCTTCCCACATCACCTGGTCCCCACATCTTCTTCTCATCTTCTTCCTCACCTCACCTGTGTAAAAGGCACCACTATCTTTCCACTTGCTGATAACAACAAAATCTAGGAGGAGGGAAAACATCTGTTTCACTACACAACATATCCTACTCGGTTGTCAGATTCTGGTCTCTTTCCCACATTGCAATAGGTCTTTTTAAATAAAGTGTCTACTTCCCTAAACCCAGATTTGTCTTTATTTGACAGATTTAACCTTGATTCCTTCCTCTGACTTCAAACCCAATTTGTCAGCAAATCCTGCTGGCTCTACCTCCAAATACATCCCAAATTTACCCCTTTCCTTCTCTCCCCGCTGCCACCCACCCAGATCCAAGCTACTGTCATCACATGCTTGGATTTTGCAGTGGCCTCTCCGCTGAAGTACTGGCTTCCTCTTCCCCCACCCCCTCCCCCACAGTTCATGCACTGGATGGCAGCCAGAAAAGTCTTTTTAACTGCAAAGAGAAAACTAATCCAGAGTGGGAGGGAAGAGGGATTAGTACAGTGGCAGGAGGCGGGTAATTGACTAGGAAGGGGCATGAGAAAGCTTTCTGAGGTAACTTTCTGTATCCTGACAGGGGTTTGGGTTACATAAATGTACGCATTTGTGGAAACTCATCTAATAATGCACTTAAAATGTATGTATTTCATTGTATGTAAGTTAGCCTCGGGGGAAAATATTACCTGGAAGCAAATATACCTGTAAGCAAATACTCTAGGTAATGCTTTGCATGCTGATGGATTTGGGAGGGCAGTGTACTGGTGTCTGCAACTGACTTTGAAAAGCATAAAAAAAACCGGATCTATGGGGCAAGATAAACAGATGTGCAACAAAGAAACTATAATTAAAGTGTTATTGGTGGAATCTAGGTGATGAGTACACAGGTGTTCGCTGTATGTTTGAAAGTCTTCTTAATTAAATGTTAAATGAAAATGCAAAACAAAGTAACTGCCCTGCTGTAAACCCTTCATCTAGACGGCTTCCCTTTGCACTAGAAATAAAATGCAAAGTCTTTTCCAGAACCCTGCAGGATGGCCCCTGCAGACTTTGCCAGCATTAAGTCTGTGATGCAACAAATATTTCTTAAGCACTTGTGTGCCAGGCACTGCACTAGACGCCCGGGATACAGCGGTGAACCAAACCTACAATAATCTATGCACAAGGGCGTGGATCTGACATTCTGCCTTCTTCCTCAATAAGAACATTCCTCTGGCAGGCCTTCTTACTTCCCAAAATTGTCTTAATTTTAACTTAATCTGCCTGTGGCTATGTGCTCAGGGAAGGCAGGGCCCTTCTCCCTGTTGCTCATAGCTTCATCCTCAGGTCCAGAACAAAGTCTTGTTTATAGTTAGACCTCAATAACAATTAGTTGAGGAAATATTCGCTCAAATTGATTTAGTACTTGTTACATATGCACCTGGCCCTGCTTTAAATTGTGTGCATATGTGTACTTAATTTAATCCTGAAAGCTGGCTCCATTTTACAGAAGAGTGAACAAGAGGCACAGACGAAGTGAGGCTGTGAATTCAAGTGGTCTGGCTTCAGCCAGCATTCTCCTAACCACTAGACTGCCTCTGACCGAACGAATGAATGAATGAATGACTCGATCAATCATCATCATCCGGACTGGCCAGGGTCCACATCCTAACTCCCACTTAGCCCGGGGATCCAGGGCCAACCGATTTACCCTCTGGACTTTGGATTCTTTATCGTCAAAGGTCAAGTCCCTCCTAGCTGTGAAGACGTTGGATGCTGGAGGGAAGTGGCTGGGAGACACCACGCGCAGGCACGCACCCAGGACCGCACCGAGGAGGGCGGCAGGAGCTGGGAGGGCAGCGCAGGGTCACCGCCGGTCACCGCCAGGGCCAGGGTGTGGCCGCCTAGAGACGGCCCAAGTCTCCGGCTTCCAGGTTCCTTCCGTTTGCCTTCGCCCTACCTGGGGCGCTGTCTCGGCCCCCCGAACCCCGGGCAGACCTGGGTGACCTGGGAGACCTCCGTGCGATCGTGAGCCCCAGACACCAGGCGGCGGCGGTGGTCTGGGAGAAATCTGGCGGCGGGGAGAGGAGCCTGCCCGCGGGCGGGGGGATGGGCTGGCCGCCCCGCCCCCCGCCTGATTTCGCCGGGGAGGGAGCCGCCCGGCCCCCGCCCTGACTGGCCCAGCCGCGTGGAGCGCCGGGGAGGAGGAGACGGAGCCGACCTGCGGCGATGGAGGCGGCCGGCACCTGGGCGCTGCTGCTCCTGCTGCTGCTGCTGCTGCTGACGCGGGCGCTGCCCGGGATCCGGGCCCGCGGCCACCTGCCCCCCGGGCCCGCGCCGCTGCCGCTGCTGGGGAGCCTCCTGCAGCTGCGGCCCGGGGCGTTTTACTCGGGGTTCGTGCGGGTGAGGGGCCGCGGGGACGCCCTGGGTCGGGGCGGGGGTCCACGGCCCGGAGCGGGAGGGGTCCCCTGGGAGAGAAGACGGGGCCTTCGGGTATCCCGGGGAGCAGGTAGGGGCAGGGGTCCCAGGGCAGAGGACCCACGGTGTCCTGGGGTGGGGGGAGCAGGTTGTCCGGGGCGAGAAGGGCAGGGATACCCGCAGAGAGGGTCCTTGGGGTGGGGCCGAGACCTCTGCCCGCAGAATCCTGGGAAGGTGATGGGCAGGGACCGGGCGGAGAGAGGCGGGAGCAGGCAGGCTTGTCACAGGGCGAGAGGTCGCCCGGGCTCGCAGGTGAGGTGCGCTAAGGCGGAGACAAAGGGGAAAGGGCAGAGGAGGGCGGGGGTGGGGGGTGGAGGCCAAGAAGAGGCTGGGGGCGCGGCAGGCTCTCGGGGGCCGGGCCGGAGGCATCTGCCTGCAGAGGACCCGGGTGGGAGGATGGGTGGAGCCCCCCTGCGAGGGAGCTGCGAGTTCCTGGGACGGAGGAGGGAAGGAGGGAGAGCCAGAAGGCAGGCGAGGCAGCCCCGGCCTGTGGGGTGGGGATAGAAAGAAGCCCGAGGTTCCCCATTGAAAAGGATTCTGGGGGACTTCAAAGACATGGAGAAGGGGGTGGGTCTCTGGGGAGAGAGCGTCTGCTCCAAAATTCGAGGGCTTTGCAGTGATTGGAAGGGGTGGTCTGGTCTTTGGGGCCAAGGGCGCTGAGGAATTAAGGGAGACCAGAGCTGGTTCTGGGATGTCCCAGGGTCAGAGGTTAGGTAGGAAGGCTGTGAGGAGGTGGGGACCGTAGGATGCCTTGGGGGAGGGGTCACTTTGGTGAAGGGGTCTAGGAGCCTCCCAAGGGGGCTATTTCCGCTTGTGGGGACAAGGGGCAGGTTCCTGGTGGAGGGTGCAGAAGCTAGACCAGAGAGTGACAGAGGCCATGATGCAGACACCTTGGCTGGGAGGGGCGGCAGCCTGCCCCCCAGCACCCACCCCTTCCGCCTCCCGCCCCCAGCTGAGCAAGCAGTATGGACCAGTGTTCACCGTGTACCTGGGCCCCTGGCGGCGCGTAGTGGTCCTGGTTGGGCACGAGGCTGTGCAGGAGGCCCTGGGAGGCCAGGCTGAGGACTTCAGTGGGCGAGGAACACTGGCGACGCTGGACGGGACTTTTGACGGCCATGGTGAGTGATGGGGGCTGGGGGGGCGCTGGGCCCCTCACTCTAAGCCGACCACCACTTACTGGTATGCGACATGGCCTGGTGCCTCTGTGTCCTCATCTGCAAAGTCACAGGCTGATCATAGCGCCTATCACACAGGGTTGTAAAGATTGGAGGAGGACTGTGCCTTGTGCAAAGTGAGCACTCGTCAATTACCAGGTTGTGTTGGGGACAGCAGTCACTGACCCCAGTGAAGCCCTGGGGCCCGGGAAGAAGCGTGAGAGAGCGTTCAAGGCACTGGGAATTGGTGGGCGAGGACTCAAAACACAGAAACCATCCTCTGTGTCACGGCGGAAGGCAGGAGGCCTATGCTAGGCGCTGCCACGTGACACAGCAGTGACCAAGACAGTCCCAGTCCTGCTCCCCCAGGGCACCCAGGCTGCTGGGAAGACAGACCCTTCGCCAGACAGTGGCAGGGCTCACAGATGTCAGGGCCAGATGGGGACGCACGGGGAGAAGGGTCAGGATGGGATGGGGGCACAGGCAGAGGGGTTGGGACAGGGATGGGAGGCGCTGGGACAGGAGGAAGCCAGGTCAGGTGACTGACCCAGCCTGTTTGGTGGAGGATCTTCAGGAAGTCTTCCTGAAAGAGGATGTCTGAGATGAGACTCATAAGATGAGTGAGAAGGGTGTTCCAGGCGGAGAGACTAGTGCATATAAAAGCATAAAGATGCAGCCGGGCACAGTGGCTCACGCCCGTAATCCTAGCACTCTGGGAGGCCGAGGCAGGTGGATCGTTTGAGGTCAGGAGTTCGAGACCAGCCTGAGCAAGAGCGAGACCCTGTCTCTACTAAAAAAATAGAAAGAAATTAGCTGGACAACTTAAAATATATAGAAAAATGTTAGCCGGGCATGGTGGTGCATGCCTGTAGTCCCAGCACTTGGGAGGCTGAGGCAGGAGGATCACTTGAGCCCAGGAGTTTGAGGTTGCTGTGAGCTAGGCTAACGCCAGGGCACTCTAGCCCAGGCAACAGAGTGAGACAAAAAAAATAAAAATAAAAGCATGGAGATGGGAGAATCAGCATTCATTTATTCATCCGATACATCTTCATTATGCCTGGCTCTGTCCTGGGGACACAAAAGTGGCCAAGACAGATGTGGTGTCCTCTCTTAACTGTGGGAGAGGCAGGGAGTAGAATTCTAAAAAAAAAAAAAAAAGAAGTACAGCCGAGAGGGCAAGGCACGGGGCACAGAGGACCTGTACAGGAGTGGGTATGGAGAAGTCAGGGAAGGCTTCTCGGAGGAGGTGACATTAGAACCGAGATGTGGAGGATGAGTGGCGTAGCTGCCCAAGGATGGGAGCAGAGCTGGGTGAGAGTGACTCAGGCAGAGGGAGCAGCTGGGGCCAAGGCCTAGAGGGGGATCTTGACTCCTTTGAGGAAGCGAAAGGAGACCAGTGCGGTGTAGCGGGATGAGTAATTACGCGGAGACGTGAGTGGGAGTCCTGGGCATGCAAGGCCTGTGAGTCACGCCAGAGCCTTCAGGCTTTTGGTTTTCCCGGGAGCGATAGATTTTAAAGCAGGGAAGATCGGCAGTCAGAGTTAGAAAGTCCTCTGGTTGCTGCATGAAAGGGCAAAACTGAAGTCTGGGAGCCCAGGGAAGGGACTGGGTAGGCCAGGGCTGGGGCCCGGTGGGATTGGAGGGAGGGGAGGTTGGGAGAGTTATCAGGGCGAAACCTCGGGCTCTGGCCAGGGGACAGGGCATGGATGGTGAGCTGAGATAGTGGGAGGAGGCCAGGTGTGGTAGCTAACACCTGTAATCCTAGCACTCTGAGAGGCCGAGGCAGGTGGATTGCTCGAGGTCAGGAGTTCGAAACCAGCCTGAGCACAAGCGCAAGACCCCCGTCTCTACTATAAATAGAGAGAAATTAATTGGTCCAACTAATATATATATATAAAAAAAAAACAGCCGGGCATGGTGGCGCATGCCTATAGTCCCAGCTACTTGGGAGGCTGAGGCAGGAGGATCACTTGAGCCCAGGAGATTGAGGTTGCTGTGAGCTAGGCTGACGCCACGGCACTCACTCTAGCCTGGGCAACAAAGCGAGACTCTGACTCAAAAAAATAAAAAAAATAAGTAAAAAAAAATAATAATAATGGTAAAAATGTTAAGCTATTGTAAAGACAGGTGTGCATACATGATCCCGCAATTTTATTTTTCTCAACCCATGGATGCCTTCGTGATGGGAATTTGTGGGGTCAGTGCCTTGTTTTTTCCTACCCCCATCCGCTGCCAACTGCAAAGAAGGGCATGTAGAAGGTATCAGGAAAAGAGAGGATGGAGTGAGGGCACGGGGTGAACGGGTAGATGAGGGGTAGACAGGGAAGGGAGGTGGGCTGGGATGAGGAGACAGCAGAACGGAGCCAGGAATGTTCGCTGCTTTGTGGCCTGTGACATAATCAAGCCACTGCCATTATCCCCAACCAGAGACGATGGTCTTCAAATCTGGGGAAGCCCGAGGCCTGGGGAAGCAGGAAGGAAGCAGGACTCATCTTGGACTTCCCCTCTGCCCAGTTCCAGGTGTTGCTTGGGGCAGCTGTGAAGAAGGGAAAGGAGAGAGGCTAAGATGAGCAAGGCGGGGCAGAGAAACTCAAGAGGGAGGCAGAGCAAGTCCAGTAACGTGGACCAGAGAGTAGACGGGCTGTGGCTCAGCCCCGGGCAGCAAGGAGCGTTCCAGAACCCTAGGGCAGGAGGATCCTGAGCAAAATAAATCCCCCAGCAATTTCTAGAATTTCCAGAACCCATCCACCCCTCAGCCTGCTGGGTCCCTGGGATTGGCAGCCTCCAGAGTGGTTGAGAAAATCCGATGGTGGAAGGCTAGACTCAAAGACTGCCCTGCACTGCCCAGCCCAGATCAGGGGATCTCTGATGGGAAGTAGCTTTGGGGGCTGAGAGAGGTCAGACTGCCCGCTGCTGAACACCCTGTGTGGGCATCTGCTAGCCCAGGGCAACGATTCGGTGAGAGAGGATCCACCAGGCATGACTAAAGTCACTGCAAAATCTATATTGGGAATCTGAGTCTTTGCTCTCCAGACTTGAGAATTATAGAAACTTGATTGCCTTGTAGATGAATTTTAGAGATTTACAAATTGTATTCAGATTGTTTTTATTCAACCAGATGTTTACTGAGCACTCACTGGGTGTTAGGCACTGAGGATACAGCAGTGAATGAAACAGAAATCCCAGTCTCAGGGCCAGAACAGTCTGATGGATGAAGGGAAAATAAAAATGTAAATCAATATATAAGATACTTTCAGGTGGTGATGTAAGCTCACGAAGAAAATGTTTTATGTATTTAACAAACACATTCAGGCCAGGTGCGGTGGCTCACGCCTGTAATCCTAACACTCTGGGAGGCCAAGGCGGGAGGATCGCTCAAGGTCAAGAGTTTGAAACCAGCCTGAGCAAGAGTAAGATCCTATCTCTCCTATAAATAGAAAGAAATTAATTGACCAATTAAAAATATATAGAAGCCGGGCGTGGTGGCTCACGCCTGTAATCCTAGCACTTTGGGAGGCTGAGGCGGGCGGATTGCTCAAGGTCAGGAGTTCGAAACCAGCTACTTGGGAGGCTGAGGCAGGAGGATCACTTGAGCCCAGGAGATTGAGGTTGCTGTGAGCTAGGCTGACGCCACGGCACTCACTCTAGCCTGGGCAACAAAGCGAGACTCTGTCTCAAAAAGAAAAAGATAGTGGGAGGAGAGATACTGAGGCCGGTTTGGGACACAGTGCGGAGGGGGGTGCAAGGGACACACAGGAGGAGGTGTCCAGGAAGCCACTACAGGGTGGCTTTGAACAGATGGAAACATTAACCTCGGGGAAGGCGAGGGGCTGTCTGGAGCAGGTGTCTTAGATGAAGGAGGAAAACAGTTGCAGATCCATCCTCCTGCCTCTCTGTGCAACCTCCAAGCTGTGTGGGACAAGGGACCCGGGACTCCATAAATGTTGGGGTGGGTGGATGGGAGGGGAGGAGGGAAGCCGAGGAAAAGAAGGGTAAAATGTGGGTGGAAGGAAGACAACTTGGCTCGCCCTGGTTAATTAAGGAGCAGAAGAAGCCTGGATCATCCCAGTTACCTGTTGTTCAGAAGAACGTACCCTCTGCCGCAAGGTCAAAGGATGGAGGAACCAGTTGGCCAATGCATTTATTGAGCACCTACTGAGTCCTCATCCCTGGGCTAGGCTGGGATGGACTCAGGGGCTTGAAGAGTCCCCTCGGGGGTACCCCGCTAGGAGGAAGGGGGTAGTCCTGGGGAATGGAGAGGGGTGCCGGTCCCTCCTTGAGTCTAGCCTTCTGTGCAGGGGTCTTTTTCTCCAACGGGGAGCCGTGGAGGCGGCTGAGGAAGTTCACCATGCTCGCTCTGCGGGACCTGGGCATGGGGAAGCGGGCAGGCGAGGAGCAGATCCAGGCGGAGGCCCAGCATCTGGTGCAGGCGTTCCAGGGGACAAACGGTCAGCAGGGCGGGCCAGCCCAAGGTCCCCGGGGAGGAATGAGTGAGAAACGCAGCCTTGGACTCTAGGGCTGTCTCTCACTGGGTGTCACCACATCTCTTTCTGTGTCCCTTGGTGCTGCCATCTCACTTTCTCTTGGTCTCCGTCTCTCCTTCTGCCCCTTTTCTTTCCTTTTCTCTGTTTTTCTGGCCCTAAGTCTGTCTGGTTTCTCTCTCCCTGGTGTGTCTCTGCCCGTTGCTCTGTTTCTGTCTTTCTCCCTGTCTGTCTCTCTCTACCGATCTGTATCCCTGTCTGTCTGTGTGTCTGTCTGTCTCTCTCTGGTCGGGTCCAGCCCACCTTGGCTCCTCTCCGCCCAGCTCCATCCCAGCCTCCTCCCTGTCCTCTGCTCCCCCTAGGACAACCATTCGATCCCTCCCTGCTGCTGGCCCAGGCCACCTCCAACGTCGCCTGCTCCCTTGTCTTTGGCCTCCGCTTCCCCTACGAGGATGAGGAGTTCCAGGCCGTGGTCCGGGCAGCTGGCGGTACCCTGCTGGGGGTCAGCTCCCCATGGGGCCAGGTAAGTGGCTGGGACCCCTCTCTGGCTGCCTTCCCCGAAGGTTCCTGCCGACCTCCACGAGAACCAGCCTCCCTTCTTCCCCGCAGACCTACGAGATGTTCTCCTGGCTGCTGCACCCCCTGCCGGGCCCCCACAGGCAGCTCTTCCGCCATCTGGGCACGCTGGCTGCCTTCGCCGTCCGCCAGGTGCAGCGGCACCAGGGGAGCCTGGACGCCTCGTGCCCGGCACGCGACCTGGTTGATGCCTTCCTGCTGAAGATGGCGCAGGTGGGAAACGGGCTTGGGGGGGTCCCCTAAAATGGGACTGGTGGCCTGGCTGGCACCCAGCTGGGTGTCCCTTTGGATCTCAGTCTCTCTCTCCCTCTCTCTGCATGTCCCTCTGTGTATGTAAGTCTCTGCACGTGTGTGCACATCTCTATGCGTCCATCCGTCTGTCTGTCTGTCTGTCTCTTTTGGTACGTTATTCTCACTGCCTCTGTCCACCCCACACCTGCAGTGTGTCTGTGCCGGGCTCTGTCTCTCCTGCATCCCTCCTCTGCCTCCTCCCTCCTCCCTCTGCCCTGTGCTCAGGCTCCATGCCCAGGGTCCTGCCACCAGCAATTTCCAGACACATCACTCCCTCCCCCACTGCCCCCCCCACTCCACTACCCACACTGGACATTTTATGGGAAATCATGATCATTTAAGCATGAAACCTTGCAAAATCAAGTTATGTTGATAGAGTCTACTTTATTAATTAGATGAGAACAATTTAATATTATATAAGAAAATGAATCTGACTCCTAAGGAAATAACTCATTTGGAATTGTACAAACTTTGGAACTATGTGGGATTCAGGGCCACATCCTTTGAATAAGTGCAGCCACCCTGTTTTTGGAGAAAGAAAATTTTTCTTAACCCTGTGGCCCCATTTCTTTTCTCTTTCATTTAAAAATTTGTTTTTATTGGCCGGGCGCGGTGGCTCATGCCTATAATCCTAGCACTCTGGGAGGCCGAGGCAGGAGGGTTGCTTGAGCTTAGGATTTCGAGACCAGCTTGAGCAAGAGTGAGACCCCATCTCTACTAAAAAAAAATTAAAAATAAAATAAATTTTAAAAATTGTTTTTAATTTTTAATTATAGTAAAATATACATAACATAAAATTTATAGTAATATAGTAAAATACGCATGCCAAATATACATATCTTAAAATTTACCATCTTAACTGTTTTTCCTTATTTATTTATTTATTTATTTTTTGCATGTGTATGTGTGTGTGTGTATGTGTGTGTGTGGAGATGGGGTCTGACTGTGTTGCCCAGGGTAGTCTCAAACTCCTGGCCTCAAGCAATCCTCCCACCTCAGCCTCCTAAAGTGCTGGGATTACAGGCATAAGCCACCATGCCTAGCCAATGGATTTTTTCTTTTTTTTTTTTTTTTTTGTTTAAATCCTAGATGCCATTGGAAGGATTTTTTCTTTTTGAGAGACAAAGCCTCACTCTGTTGTCCAGGCTAGAGTATAGTGGTACAATCATAGCTCACTGCCTGGAACTCCTAGCCTACAGCAATCCTCCTGCCTTGGCCTCCCAAAGTGCTGGGATTGCAAACATAAGCCACCTTGCCTGGCCCACCATTTATTTATTTATTTATTTTTAATTTTTTTGAGACAGAGTCTTGCTGTGTTGCCCGGGCTAGAGTGCCGAGGCTTTAGCCTAGCTCGCAGCAACCTCAAACTCCTGGGCTCAAGCAATCCTTCTTCCTCAGCCTCCCAAGTAGCTGAGACTACAAGCATGTGCCACCATGCCCGGCTAATTTTTCTATATAGATTTTTACTTGTCCAGCTAATTTCTTTCTATTTTGTTTTTTTAGTAGAGACAAGATCTCACTCTTGCTCAGGCTGGTCTCAAACTCCTGACCTCTAGCAATCCTCCCGCCTCGGCCTCCCAGAGTGCTAGGATTACAGGCGAGGCCCACCATTTTTAAGTGTACTGTTTATGAGTGTTAAGTATATTCACGTTGTCGTGCAACCAACCTCCAGAACTCTCTTAGTGTTACAAAACTGAATCTCTGTACCTGTCAAACAGCAACTCCCATTCCCACAACCCCTGGCAACCACCATTTGACTTTCTGTAATTTTTTTTTTTTTAAGACAGGGTCTTGCTTTGTCACCTAGGCTAGAGTGCAGTGGTAAGATCATAGCTCACTGTAACCTTGAACTCCTGGGCACAAGCGATCCTCCTACCTCAGCCTCCCAAGAAGCTGGGACTACAGGCATGCGCCACCATGCCCAGTCAATCTATTTTCTGTGGAGATGGGGTCTGGCTATATTGCCCAGGATGGTCTCAAACTCTTAGCCCCAAGTGATCCTCCCACCTTGGCCTCCCAAAGTGCTGGGATTACTGGCACGAGCTACCACACCTGGCCTCTATAAATTTAATCACTCTAGGTATCTCATATAAGTGGAGTCATATAATATTTGTCCCTTTTGACTGGCTTATTTCACTTAACATAATGTCCTCAAGGTTCATCCATGTTATAGCATGCGATAGGACCCCTGCCTTTGCAAGCCTGAACAGCATTTCACTGTATGTATGTTATATGCCACGTTCTGTGTATCCATTCATCCATCAGTGGACAAATGGGTTGCTTCCACCTCTTGCTATTGTAACTGCTGTTAGGAACATGGGTGTACAATTATCTCTTTAAGTCCCTGCTTTCATTTTTGGGGTATATTCCCAGAATTCAAATTGCTGGATCATATGATAATTTAATTTTTAATTATTTGAGGAACTGCTATACTGTTTTCCATAGTGGCTGTACCATTTTACATTCCCACCAAAGGAGTTTTTTTTTGTTTTTGTTTTTTTTTGAGACAGAGTCTCACTTTGTTGCCCAGGCTAGAGTGAGTGCCGTGGCATTAGCCTGGCTCACAGCAACCTCAATCTCCGGGGCTCAGTGATCCTACTGCCTCAGCCTCCCGAGTAGCTGGGACTACAGGCATGCGCCACCATGCCCAGCTAATTTTTTGTATATATATTTTTAGTTGGTCAATTGATTTATTTCTATTTTTGGTAGAGACGGGGTCTCGCTCAGGCTGGTTTCGAACTCCTGACCTTGAGCAATCCGCCCGCCTTGGCCTCCCAAAGTGCTAGGATTACAGGCGTGAGCCACCACGCCCGGCCCCCAAAGGAGTTTTTGTTTCAGTGTCTCCATGTCTTCACCAAGACTTGTTTGCTGTGTATTTTTGCTAGTAGCAATTCTTTTTCCTTTTTCCAAAACGTTTCGACCAGAGAGAACTAACATCAGGGACCCACATCCCAACCTTTCCTGAACATTTATTGAAACTGACAATGATTGCACCTGCTGTGCTGCACCCCATGCTTGGCTGCCTAGGCCTTTACTTGCCTGTTTTTTCCCAGGAGGAACAAGACCCAAACACGGAATTCACAGAGAAGAACTTGCTGATGACGGTCACTTACCTGCTATTCGCCGGGACGATGACGGTCAGCGCCACGATCTGCTACACCCTCCTGCTCCTGGTGAAATATCCTCAGGTCCAAAGTGAGAGCCTTTCCGCCAGCCAGGCCTTGGGGACAGAAAGGAGGGTGCAAGAGGGGGAAACGTGCAGGCGGAATAGACAGGCTGAGTCAGATCCGGGAAGCAGGAATGCGTGTGGCGTTTGGGGTATCTGAGCAGTGAGAAAAAGTTGGGGGGCTGCCGGTTGCAGTGTGAAGTGTAGTGAGAGAGAAGCAGGAGGTGTCTGCAGGGCCTTGTCACCTCGGTGGTTTGTCGTGTGCCTTATCCTGAGCAGGCAGCCTCATGGAGGAACTCTGAGCAGAGGCACATTTGCATTTGAGAAAAATGCTCAGGGCTGCCCTGAAGAGAGAGGCCTGGGCCAGGCTAGGGGGGGCTGTGGAAAATGGAAAGAGAGGGGAGGTGTCCAGGGACAGGCCTGGGGAAGTGGGGGACATGGGGCCACCCTGAGACGGGGACAGGAGGGATGAGGAACTGGTTTCAGGGAGAGACACCAAGTCAAGTTTGGAATCATCTGAGTCTGAGCCTGGGGCCACGCTGGGGGAGGCAGCCAGGAGGCCAGGAGACACCCAGGTGAGGATGGGAGATGAAGAGTTGGGATGATCAGAGCGCTGGCAGGAACCGAGGCTGTGGTGATTAGGGAGGGTGCCTGGGCAAGAGGCAGGTCTGGGAATGAGCCCTGAGGGACTCCGGCATTTTAGGGTCAGCTATATTGAATGCTAAAGGGCTACTGAGATCGGCCAACCTGGGAGTTGGGGTCCTTGGTGGAGTGGCATCTGGGCCTCAGTTTTCTCATCTGGGAAATGGGAATAGATAATAGCACTTGCCTCGTAGGGTTGCTGTGGGAGTTAGGGAAGGATAGATGGAGTGCCCAGCACGCAGGATGTCCCGTGGGCTCAGGGCTAAGGGAGGGCTGGGGGACTGCTCCTCCCTCCTGCTGGCCTCACCCCAAACTACAGCTACCCAAGAAGATGAAGGAAGGTCGCAGGGCCGCACCCCACCTCTGACCCCTACCCCTCTTCTCGCATGCAGAGCGTGTGCGTGAGGAGCTGACGCGGGAGCTGGGGGCTGGCCGGGCGCCAGGCCTGGGGGACCGTACCCGCCTCCCTTACACCGACGCGGTTCTGCACGAGGCGCAGCGCCTCCTGGCCCTGGTGCCCATGGGAATACCCCGTGCCCTCACTCGGACCACCTGCTTCCGGGGCTACACCCTGCCTCAGGTTGGTACGCAGCACAGCCGGGGCCTGAGCGGGAGGAGGTTGCTGTTGGTGTCTTTCTGACTTTTTCTTGATCTTAGTGTCTGTCTGTCTGTCCGTCTGTCCCTCTGTCTCCACACCCCGCTGCGTCTTCCTCCTGCTCTGTCTGACATCGCCCTCTGCGTTTGTACTCTTTCTTTTCCTCTGTGCATGTGTTTCTCTTGCCGTTTCATTCTGTGTCTGGGCTCGGTTTCCCCCTCTGTCCAACAGATACCCCAACGCCACCTCCTTCCAAGGCGGTTGGGACAGTCAGATGAGGTGACACGCGCAGCGAAGCAGTTTGAGAACTAACAGAGGCCCTCCTCGCCCTTAGCCCCTGCTGCAGACACACGCAGACACACACGTTCGCCTGGTCACAAACACACAGACTTTCAGTCCCTGCCTCTTCATTGCAGAGCAGCTCAGACCCAGAACCGCCAGGGGGCGATGTTTCCCTAGAAACCCCAGAGCTCAGTGCCAGCGGCCCCCTGCCCCGCTTCACTGCAAAAGCAAAGCCAAGGACAGTTAGGATCCAGTCCTGCTGTTTCCTAACTGGGGCCTTGGGCAAATCCCTCGCCCTCTAAACCTCAATATACACCTCTTCTAAATTGGCAATAATAATAGTATCAACTTGGAACTGTGATATAACGCTTGCAAAATACCAACTCAGCGCCTGGTGGAGGGGGAGTTCTACGCACATGGCAGCTGCAATATGAAGATAGCGATGACAGCAGTGATCAGTACCCGAGAACTTGCTCTGTGCCGGGTGTTATTCTGAATGCTTCACGTATCATCTTATTCAGTCTTCAGAGCAACCTTATATGATTATCATGCCCATGTTACAGATGAAGAAACTGAGAGTTTGAAAGGTTAAAAGACTTGCCAGGATGACCCAGCCTGCAAGCAGTGGAGGCAGGATTTAGACCGAGAACCTATGCTTTAACCACTACCCTCTGCCTTTCTCTTATTTTAACAGCAATAACATGACCCTGTCTTTTTTCCTGGAATCTCCCCTCAACCTTCCCAACTCAGACCCCCAGTAGCAGAGTCCCTGGCAAAATAGGTCTTACCCCCTGTCCTTGCCTGACGCTCCCCACCTGCCTTCATCCTACACCCCACAGTCCCCAGGAGCATGGAAGCTCTGATCTTGGCAAGGGGGCTGCCACTGGCCCTGAACCTGGGCAGGTGGAGCCTTCTTAGACAGCTCTCACCCCTATCCTCGCCTTGTATCTCTGAAAGACCATAGCCCCAGACAGCTAGACTCTCAGACGTTCAGCGACAAGGTGGCTTAGGACAGCTGAACCACCTCATACCAACCCCCAAAGTTTCAAAAGAAAATATAAAAAAAAACAAGCTCTGCCATGTCCAAATGGTTACCTTGGGCAAGTTGCTGAAGTTCCCTGGACCTCAGTTTCCCCATGTTTAAAAAGGGGGTAATATCCATACCTGCCTCCTAGGCTTGCTCAGGTGACTCAGAGAGTTTGTGTCTGTGTGTTTTGTGTGTGTGTGCAATGCGTGTATCTGTTACATATGAGATAATAACAAAGTGCCTGGCCCATCATAAGCACTCAACAAATGTAGATGTCATTACGTTTTTGTGAACTGGTGGCCCTGGCACTCTAGGCTTGTGTCCTACACTCGGAAGCGGACGGCCTGGGGTGGTGGGAGGTTTGCACGTTGATTGCGATGTCCCCGCAGGGCACTGAGGTCTTCCCCCTCATCGGCTCAGTCCTGCACGACCCCGAGGTCTTCGAGCAGCCCGAGGAGTTCAACCCAGGCCGCTTCCTGGATGCGGACGGGCGGTTCAGGAAGCACAAGGCATTCCTGCCCTTCTCCTTAGGTACCTGCTGGGTCCTTAGGTAGCACTGGGGGCGTGGCCGGCTGGGGCGTCTGTGCCAGCTGGGGGGCTCCCTCCTGGCACCCCGGGCTCCTTGTTGCTCCCCCCACCCGCCGTCCCCTCCACGGGCCTGGGCGAGGACGGCCGCTCAGCCCCGTCTCCTCCTCCCCAGGGAAGCGCGTCTGCCTTGGGGAGGGCCTGGCGCGAGCGGAGCTCTTCCTGGTCTTCACGGCCATCCTGCAGGCCTTCTCGCTGGAGAGCCCCTGCCCGCCCGGCTCCCTGAGCCTCCAGCCAGCTGTCAGCGGCCTCTTCAACGTCCCCCCAGCCTTCCAGCTGCAGGTGCGGCCTGCCGACCTCCACCCTGCTGTGCAGACCAGATGAAGGCAGGAGCTTTGGAGGCAGGGGCCACCTGGGACGGTTGCTCCCTGGGACCTGGGACGGTTGCTCCCGCCTCGAATGGGCGTGGGCGGGGCTGTGTCTCTAGAGCCACAAAGCCACACCACAGACAGCCACACTCGCACACCTGCGGCTGTGTGCTGGAGCCGGTCCCGCGGTCACAGCCCACACGCTCACCGGGCCCACGCCGCTGTCGGGACACGCAGCCACTCGCCCGTGCCACCTACGGGGGCCTCGGGCAGCTGCTGCACACGCTTTCCCCAGACATAGATTTGGTCCGTCCGGAGTCGCAAGCGCACGCCCAGGTAACCCACCAATTCGCGTGCCACGCAACTCCCAGGACCTCAGTCCACGCACGTGTGGGAGTGCAGCGCCACGTGCACAGCTCACGCACTCTTTGTTCCTCACACGCATCAGTGCCACCGTCCCTGAGTGCCTGGCGCAGAGAACAGCGCAGCCCCGTCACGGGTCACGCCACAGCCAGACACCCCTGTCTGTGGCCCCCAGCACGCGCCCCCGCGGTGGCTGCACCGCTCTCCAGGCGCGCGACCACTGATGTCCACGCGCCCCAACCACTGGGCCGCACAGCCAGGCCACGGATGACATTGGCCCGGCTCCCCTGAGTTTCTTCCCACTGAGACGCACCACTCCTGGGGAGGCGGGGTCCCCAGCCACCTCCATAATGTCAACTCTCAAAGTTGCCCCTCGCCAGGCTCTCTGATCCACAAATCCTCCCCGGTGCAAACACATCGCCGCGGGCTGCAACTGTGCACACGGACCTTGCACACGCGAGGACTCTGAGACCAGAGGAATACCCACCCACCCCGTGCTCCCGTGTGTAACCGTGCCGGAAGCAGCCCCTGCTACACGCCCACACTCTCTGACCCATGGCCCCTGCTTGGCGTCAGAGTCCCCTTTAGACCCGGTGGAAGGGCCTAAAAGACCGAGTCGGGGCCACTTCCAATTCCCAGTGTCAGGGAAGGAGACAGATCTGACGTCCTTGTCACTTAACAGTCCCGGTTTTTGCAATAAAAGTTTGTTTCTGGCCCGTGGCCCTAGTGTGTGTGTGAGCGCGTCAGTCATTGTGAGTAAGGGGTGGGGACAGAGGGGTCCACCCCTCCCCTGAGGCCGGGCGAGAGCTGAAAAACATGGCCGCGCCCACCGTGGCTGTTGACATCAGTACCAGATGTGGAGTGGGGGGAGGGAAGGGCGGAGTGGGGGGAGGGAAGGGCGGGGCGGGGCTGGCCTGGGCCTCCCTCCCAGGCAGGGCCAAGGTGTCTGGCCGCCCCAGCATGGGCAAGCAGAGGGTGACCCACGCCTGACTGCAGGTCTTCAAGGCCTCCTCGGCCAGGAAAAGCCTGAAGTCGACCAGGTTCAGACCCCTGGGACTCTCCAAATCTAAAAGCAGACGCTTAAACCCAGGCACTAGAGGACACGCAGACCCCAACGCTTCACCCTCCTCCTCCTCCTCCACCCTTTCTCTCCTGCCTTCCCTTCGCAGGGAAACCAGAGGCATCTTTTTACTTTGTAATTATCTAGTAAGGAAGTTTTCAAACATACACAAAAGGAGAATGACACAATGAGCCCATCACCCAACTTCATTCAATAATAAACTTTCTGCTGCCTTTGTTTCATCTGTCACTTTTTATAAAGATTTTTTTTTTTTTTTTTTTGAGACATACTCTCACTCCGTTGCTTGGGCTAGAGTGCTGTGGTATCAGCCTGGCTCACAGCAACCTCAAACTCCTGGGCTCAAGCAATCCTCCTGCCTCAGCCTCCCAAGTAGCTGGGACTACAGACATGCGCCACCATGCCCAGCTAATTTTTTCTATTTTTAGTATAGATGGGGTCTTGCTGTTGCTCAGGCTGGTCTCGAACTCCTGAACTCAAATGATCCACCCGCCTAGGCCTATAGAGTGCTAGGATTACAGGCGTGAGCCACCGCGCCTGGCCTATAAAGATTATTTTAAGGCAAATCCCAGGCTGGGTGGAGGTGGCTCACCCCTGTAATCCTAGCACTCTGGGAGGCCGAGGCGGGTGGATAGCTCAAGGTCAGGAGTTCAAAACCACCCTGAGCAAGAGCGAGACCCTGTCTCTACTATAAATGGAAAGAAATTAATTGGCCAACTAATATATATAGAAAAATTTAGCCGGGCATGGTGGCACATGCCTGTAGTCTCAGCTACTCAGGAGGCTTAGGCAGGAGGATGGCTTGAGCCCAGGAGATTGAGGTTGCTGTGAGCTAGGCTGACGCCACGGCACTCACTCTAGCCTGGGCAACAAGCGAGACTCTGTCTCAAAGGAAAAAAAAAAGCAAATCTCAGAAACTAATTGAATATGCATTTATAAGCGTTCAAGAATTGCACAAGGAGGCCGGGCGCGGTGGCTCACGCCTGTAATCCTAGCACTCTGGGAGGCCGAGGCGGGCGGATTGCTCCAGGTCAGGAGTTCGAAACCAGCCTGAGCAAGAGTGAGACCCCGTCTCTACTATAAAATAGAAAGAAATTAATTGGCCAACTAATATATATAGAAAAAATTAGCCGGGCATGGTGGCGCATGCCTGTAGTCCCAGCTACTCGGGAGGCTGAGGCAACAGGATTGCTTGAGCCCAGGAGTTTGAGGTTGCTGTGAGCGAGGCTGACACCACGGCACTCGCTCTAGCCTGGACAACAAAGCGAGACTCTGTCTCAAAAAAAAAAAAAAAAAAAAAAAAAGAATTGCACAAGGGAGACCTGCATGCCACCTGAGTTTTTCCAGAACATACCTGGCCACCTTGCCACTGGCTCAGCAATGTTTTAGGCATCTCCAAGTAAACTGCAGACGTCAGTTAATCTTCTAGAAACTTCAGCAATGCATATATCATTAGCTAAAGTTTCCTTTTCAAAAAAAAAAAAAAAATTCCACCATGGCTCAAGCTCTATAGAGGCAGCACAAAACAGGGACAGGAGAGAGAACTGAAAAACAAGATTGGAATCAGATCCTAACGGTGGCGCTCCCTAGCTGACCACACCTTGGACCAGGGATTTACCATCTTAAAAGCCTCAATAAATTTAAAAGAAATAAGAAATGTGAAAAACCCTGGAACTTAATAGGAAGGAAATATGTGAAATACATGCTAAATTCTTGTATTTAATATTATTACTATTTTTTAGTATGTGAGTGTGATGTGAAAAGGAATGAGGTTTAAGATTTCAAATTAAGGCAATGGGCCAGGTATAGTGGCTCATGCCTATAATCTCAGCACTTTGACTGCTTGAGGCCAAGAGTTTGAGACTAGCCTGGGCAGCATAGCAAGATCCCCTACAAAAATTATAAAAATTAGTTGGGCATAGTTGCAGGTGCCTATAGTCCCAGCTACTTGAGAGATTGAGGTGGGAGGATCGCTTGAGCCCCAGGGGTCGGAGGTTACAGTGAGCTATGATCACTCCACTGCACTCCCGCCTGGGTGGCAGAGTAAGACTGTCTCAAAATAAAATAAAATAAAATAAAATAAAATGTAAGGAAATGACTTTGTGCTTTCTTTTGCACTCGAAATTCACATGCAGGGAAAACTGGAATGAGATAGAAATTCCAGCAAACTAGTTTATTTAAAGAATCATAGACCTTGCATTAACTCAATATAAAAGTTGACATCAGGGTGATTTCAGTAGCAAGTAAAAGAAAATATAAACTCAAAATGGCTTAAACAATAAAGAATTATTGAACCCAAAGTAAAAGCATTTAGAATTAGTGTAGTGTTCAGATATTTTTCTGTGTGTGCTAAAATATTCATAACATAATATTTTAACTGTTTGTAAGTGTGAATCGGTGACGTTAAATAAATGCACAATGTTAGTGGCATTAAATATGTTCACAATGTTGTGTAACATTACCGATATTTATGCTCAAAACTTTTGATCATCTCCAAAACAACCTGTACCCATTAAACAATAACTCCCCTTTAAAGTTTATTTCTTGAAAGTCAAAACTACAATATCTATTGTCATACCTATCACAAAGAACAATTCTGTTATATCAGTGTTCTCATTTTCTTGATGGTCTCATTAACACATTTTATAATTGGTTTGTTCAAATTAGAATCCAAATTTTATTTGAAATGTGTTTGAGGTTTTTAAAATCTGTGACTATTCCCCATGCTGTTGTGTGCCATTTATTTCTTGAATAAAGGGAGTCTTTGGCCCTGTACAATTGTTCGTATTCGGGATTTGGCTGATAGCATCTTTGTGGTGTCATTCAATATGTCCTTTTGTTCCCAGGATCGCTTGTAAATTAGGAATTAAATCAGATCCGGGCTCCTTCTGGCAAGAGCTCCTCACCGGACGTGCTGAGCCCCTTCCCACTGCATCACATCGTGGTGACAGGGTCCCATGTTTAGTGACACTTAAAAGTGGCATGTCCAGGTCCTGATCCCTCGGTTAGAAAGTCTGCCAACCTTTCACTTGCTGGCCTTAGGGA